ATAACAAAAAGACAGATATCTATCAAATTATGCTGCCTCCTACTGGCTTACATACCTACGACCGTCAGAGGCAAATATCCAAGAGGGTGTCCATGCTGTGTAAAACAACCAACTCGACATTCCTATAACGATTTCGTAACCAATCTCAGTCCAGAGTAATTACGCAATACGACGTAGGAAGATTGATTCATTGCAACGGACAGGCGATCGTCGATATAGATAAATGCACGAGCCAGAAAATTTCAAACGTAAACGTGACAACGATATAGTATAGTTTTTGTCGGTAAAAAAATTTTTTACAAATTTTTCTATAAAAACTTAACAATCATTGTCGAAATTTTTTTTGAAACTCACGACCCAATACGTATTCATAGACCCTTATCTTGACTACTCTCCATCCATGTTCGAGAAGAAAGCGAAAATCAAAACTGCCAATTGCATTATTGGAGAGCAATAAAAAAAGCAGCGACCCCAGTCGGTAAAACAGTTTCAATTATTTGCCAACGTACGATTTCAGTAATAAATTAAATTTGACACTCCTTAACGTAATCACTTACATGGAATTCGTCGATGAAATGAAATTCAACGGTTTCAGGTATTAATTGTCAACGAATGTTAACAAGTACCTCAAACACGATTAATAATTGCTATGTATGGCATATATAGTATATATTCGTATACGAATGAACACCTTCGAGATTCTGTCGCTATAATATTTCTCCTTAATTACGCGACTGATTTACAATTTCCCAAAGTCCACATATAAATGGACTACCTCCAAAACTAGTACAGCCGTGTAGCTGTGATCGAGCAGGGACACATCTGGATCCGGACATCTTATAAAATCGTCTTGGCATCGGATTTACGCAATTCCGTAAATACACCGAATTTTCGAAGAATTTCAAAATTATTCCCGTACCTCCAATGTAACAAGGTGACAAACGTCATGCGCAACTAAATGCGACAGCGTCTCGTGAATTACGTCTCGTATAATGATACAGGCCGATTCGCATATAGCGCACGTTAAAGCACAGGTATATAGAGATCGATATATTATTATGAACATATGGCCACGAGGTGCGCGCGCATCTTTTCGAATTTACGTTCTGGATGTCTGCCAGCGATTATCGATATCCTGAAAGCGTACAGGACCAACGCCAGCCTATCTCTCTCGCTCTGCTTAAAAATCGTCCATTCTTCTTCTCAAGAATAAATAAATCAGAACTAGAACATAAATAAACGGGATACCTGATTACGTCACACAAATCATTAAAAACGACATTGGATTACCGTTAGGCAAATTTACGGGATTTCGAGGGCGAGAAATAAGAAATACCAATAAGTGCAGTTACATATACATATGTATATGCATACCGTGGACGCCTCGTCTTATATTGATCTCCACATAAGTTCCAATGCCAAAGACAATTGAAGAGACAATATCATTACGTATAGAAGCATCCGACTAAAGTCTACCAGTTACATTTGACAGTTGTCATAGAGTGAATGTAATTAATAAATAATTAACAGTACCGTCAAGTTAAAAGTGCATTGAAACACTCAGGACGTTCAAATTGAGAGTTCAAGATTATCGAAAATTCCTATACTGTCCGTGAGTGCGAGGGAGACCGACTTATGAGCACCGACGTGCTTAAGAGAGAGACGGACGACACCGTCACCCTATAAAACGAGTAAAAAAATATATACTTTTCGCGAAAGTACCTTACTCACGTATGACTAAGATTTCGAAAATACCTGTGATTCCGAAAGTCGTGATACTACGAAATTACAGTAATCCAGCAGCACGCCGTTCATCCAAGTACCAAGGACACGCAAGCTTTCCATTGAAAGCTTAACACGAGGATTGTCAAGCAATGTGATAAAAGAGCGCGACAATCGAAGGCATCTGCCATTAGACTGTCGTAAAGAAATTAAAGGTAGAGCACGCGATACAAAGTGAATGA